TTTATTTATTTATTTATTTATTTATTTTTTAAAAGATGACCGGTAAGGGGATCTTAACCCTTGACTTGGTGTTGTCAGCACCACGCTCACCCAGTGAGCAAACCGGCCATCCCTATGTGGGATCCGAACCCTCGGGCGGGAGCGCCGCCGCGCTTCCCAAGCGGCGCACTATCCAGTGCGCCACCGGGCCGGCCCAAGAGAAGCAGTTTTAAGAAGGAAAAATCAGGGCCATCCCGTGGTTCACTCGGGAGAGTGTGGTGCTGATAACACCAAGGCAACGGGTTCAGATCCCTACGTAGGGATGGCCGGTTTGCTCACTTGGGAGAGTGTGGTGCTGACAACACCAAATCAAGGGTTAATACCCCCTTACTGGTCATCTTTAAAAAAAAAAAAGAAAAAGAAAACAAAAAAAGAAGAAGAAGAAGGAAAAATCAAAAACAAAAAGCTACCAAATAGCTACCTTACTCCTTTTTTTAACAAGACCAGATTAATTAAATTTAAAAATAAACAAATGCAACAATCAATCCCCTGAAATCCCAAAAGCTGGGAGGGCAAGCATATGTCCACCTGAGTCACAGAAAGGCAGCTGACGGTATGAGGAGCTTGATGAGCCCCACAGTCAAACAGAGCTCAATTCACATCCAGGCCCTGCTGTTTAGATGTTTGGGACCTTGGGAGCTGGCTGGTGGCTCACTTGGGAGTGGGTGGTGCCAATAACACCAAAGTTAAGGGTTCAGATCCCCATACCGGCCAGCCACCAAAAAAAAAAACATTTGGCAAATGACAGCCTCTCCGAGCCTGTTTATTGTCTTGTAAAACAGGCCTAACACCCCTATGTTTCAGAACAGCTGAAATGAGGGTTAACTTAGAAGTACACACAATGGATCTTAGCATAATGCCTGGCACTCAGTAGAGGCAAAATAAATATTAAGTGTTAAAATGATTGCTTCTCTGGTTAAGAGAAAAAGTAATCAAAAAAATTAGAAAAATACCTTGGCCCTGGTAGCCAGTTTACAATTCATGAATTCATCTCCAACACACTGAGCTGATTCCTTTAACTTGTTCTGCACATCCTGCAAAAGGAAAAAAAGAGATAACTTCACCCTCTACCATCAGCAAAAAGTTAATGTGAGATGAATTAAATCAATAAAAAGCAGGATATAGACCTTCCTTAAGAGAAATGTGCTTCCATGTGTTTGCTTTCACATAAGTATTCCACAATCTCTTTACTGTCTCTTCTTAGATTTTTTTTTTTTTTTCATTGATTTACACTTTACAGTGGTCTTCTATAGACAGGAAAGCCTGACTTAATGACAGTAGCATTACCAAACTCCCAACTCTGGAGTAGAGAGATTGCTTTCCAGAAATACGGTAACTCCATCTACAAACTAGGGGGGCTAGCCAGTTAGCTCAGTTCATTACAGCACAGCCGTGTAACACCAAGGTCAAGGGTTCGGATCCCCTACTGGCAAACTAGGGACAGCATCAATACTTGAGACAGACATCAGATTCATTAGACCCTGTTAGATTCCAAATGGAGCAACAGAATAGAAGCTAAGGTTTCTCTCTTCCTCGTATGAACAGATCCATGGGGCAAGGGAATCCCAGAGCCCAGAGAGAGTGATGAGCAGAGAAAGGGCAGGTGCTCTGGTCCTGACCCCTGGCACCCGAGCCCTGTCTTGTGAACAGAGGCCTTCCTGGCAAAGCCAAGCCTTAAAATAAGGAGCCACCCCAGAAACACAAGGACAGACCCTAATACACAGCTGTTAATGTGTTAGAAATTCTAGAATTTCAGAGATGCCTTAAAGAACATCTTGCCTAATTCTCTCATTTTACCAAAAATGAAAGCTGACATCCAGGTAGGTTACAGGGAACACTCCATCCATGGAAAGGCAAGGGGAGAACAGGGATTAACAGCAGCTGTATGGGGGTGTTGCCCACTCTGCATCCCTCCCACATCCCTCTCCACCTCCCTCTCCCTGGCCTAGGGCCTAAGCAGTTCCCAGGTCCTTCTATACTCCTGGCAATCAAGGTCTCTGTTCCAAAGGAACTTATCCACCCCAGGGCTCAAAAGACCACACTCCCTGCTCAAGGGAGAAGGTCGCATTATGTACTGAATGTCTGGTATGAGTGTACAGGTACCCACTGTGGATATCACCAAGGAAAGCCCACAGCCTTCTAAAAGAGGTCAAAGGCCCCTTCTGCCTCCGAGGGAAGCAAAAGCAAAAGGAAGGAAGACTTGTGCTGACCCTGCCTTTGTGAGCTCTGTGGCCTGTATCTTTCCATAGCAGGGATAAGGGACAGGAGGCGAGGTTGGCCCCCGTAATTCCCCATTCAAGAGGCTTCCCTGTAATAGGGGAGACTTTGAATATGTCTAGTCCACACTGGAGCCTCCCCTCACCCCACAGCGAGAGAGTCCTGCAGACACACATGAAAAAGGATTACATCTTTCCTGTGGAAGACCTGGCAGCCATTCCCTTCTCAACTGGAAACAAGAGCTTTGCTTTAGCTTCTTTTTTTTTTTTATCGTCTTTTTACGTGACCGGTAAGGGGATCACAACCCTTGGTGTGGTGTCACCCACACTGTGCTCAGCCAGTGAGCGCACTGGCCAGTCCTATATAGGATCCGAACCCGTGGCGGGAGCATCTCCGCACTCCCAGCGCCGCACTCTCCCGAGTGCACCACAGGGCCGGCCCTGCTTTAGCTTCTTGACTCTCACTGAGGCTGTGCAATGGCAGCTTACAAAAAGAAATTAGTATTCCTGTATACGTGAAGGCACTGTTTTCCAGGACACGGGTCTATACTGTGGTGCGCTAAGGAAAGCTACGGAGACGTGGCCTGTTTTTCCAATGGTCCTTAGTCACATGGGGCTTTTTTTTTTTAAGTAAACACTTATATCTGGAGTCCCTAGCACTTCCATAAGCCCTACATAAACCATCTAGCCTTCAGTATATTAGCTCTAAATCCCCAAAGTGTCTACACTACGAACCCACGATTTCCACATGGACATAGAAAATCCTGCACAGTCAAAATCAAGGATGCCTCTTAAAAATCATATTCAACCTGTTATCTGGAAAGTAAAGAAGTCTTATTTATGTTAAGATAAATAAGACTTATAAAATAAATTCCTTCCAAGCAACCAAATAAGGGAAATGAGACAGGGAGAAGAGCAAGAAAACAAAAACAAATTTAAGATGTAAGTAAGAGCTTAAGGAACCTCAGAATCTACCACATGGACAGGATGAGAACACAGATGTTTTTTAATATACTTACGGAACCACTGAATGAGAGGAACAGCTTGAGGATGACATCCTCAGAGAACGGGGGGTGCCGGGCCACCAGGTTAATGAAGCGCTTCAGGGCTCTCCTTCTGGCTTCGATGAATTCCCTGTCAGCTGAGGAAGAGCCTAAGTCACCAAACAGTCTAGTGCACTTCCCCAAAATCTTCCACTCTTAGCGAGTTCCCAAAGCATTTCAGTAGAGGAGTTCAGAGCATGCCACACAGCTAGCTGAAGGCATTGGATGGGCCCCATCATTCCCAGGGCCACAGACACAAACCCAGCAAGGCTGCAGAAGAGCAAGACCCCTCCTCCATGTCCCCCGACCCCACACAAACACAAACTTGGGTTCAGTGACTGCCAAAGAAAACCACAGATGTATCTGTTTCAATCAAGAGGACTGGGAACCAAGCCTGATTCCTCACTATGATTGTCTACATTAAAGACATCTTCTATAATCACTTTTTGGCACTTTTCTCCAGGAACAAATGAGTTGTGCTTGTATATTAACGTAACTCAGTTTTCCTATTTACATCACTTATAACTCACTCTGTAATGGATCCAATTATTAACTGCTTTCATTCTGGTTAGTTTCACTTCTGGGGGTGGGGTGAGGAAAGGAAAAGTATATATATATATGTATATATATATATATATTTTTTTTTTTTAATTTATCAATATACAATGTAGTTGATTTTCATGAGAAAAACTATATACTGACACATCAAGGATATTTAAATCTGAACACAAATAGAAATGGTATTTAAGATATTACTTTTAAGTTATTAAAAAAATACAGTTGAATGATGCCCACCTCCCCCCTCAGGACCACCAGATATCCTTCTGTAGAAGGCCCGGCTTTCATAAATGCTAAATCAGTAACTCAGTGTTGGCATGCACAGTTTCCAGCTGCTGAACACTAACTACACTTAACCAACTTTGCTTTTTTTTTTGTCTTTTTTCGTGACCGGCAATGGATCGCAACCCTCAGTGTCGCGCCCGCACTGGAACGGGACCGGGAACGGGACCGGCAACGGGATCACGACCCTCGGTGCTGCGTCCGCACCTCGCTCATGCGCCCCCACCTCGCTCAGCCAGTGAGCGGCCGGTCTGTATGTGGGATCTGAACCCTTGGCGGGAGCGTCGCTGTGCTCCCAAGCGGCACACTGTAGCAGTGCACCACCGGGCCGGCCCTACACTTAACCAACTTTGATGCTTGAATTTTAGTAAGAATCACCTATCCTCAACACATTTTCTGATCTCTGCTGCCCTCAGTATTCCTTGGACCTCTCAATGTGACAAAATAATCTGTTCTACAGTGCTCACATGTGACTTGAAGAAAATCACATTATCAGACTCTGAGCTACTCAGTGGCCAGGGAGAGGCAAAAGTATTTATGTACCATTTTAAGAGATATCAGATAGCTGGAAACCAGCCCACGGTATTAAACCTCGAGCTATTTCCCTGGTCAAGTATACAGTTATTTTGGGATGGCTGGGAAATGGCAGGAAGGCAACTGATTAGCTTTGGCATTAACTCTCCTACCCACCAAGTTTTATTCAACTTTTGAGAAAAGGGCTATGGGAGAGAGGACCCTGAGATCCAGAGATGGCAACCACCATCTCCCTGTGCTCTGGAACCCTGGGAGAAACAGGCCAGTCTAAAAGGAGCCTGCAGGTTATCTGTGCTCTCCCACCTAGCCCAAGGCAATCTTCAGGGGCAGCAGTGAAGAAGTGGCAGCCATCTGACATTCCTTGTCTCCTTTAAGATGCAGAGTAGATTTCCTACCTTACATTTACTTCTGTTGGTACCCATTACTCAGGTTCACGTGGCTTTGCAAAAGCAGGCAAAACAAACTGCCAGCCACATGAGCTAATAGTGCTCCTGGCCTCCCACACAGAAGCACTAAGAAGTCCTGGCCCTGTGCTCTGGAGAGAAGCGGGGTTCCTTCTTTCACATTTGTATAATAGGAACCTCCCTATGTGTCAGTCATCCAGCCAGAAGGCTCAGGTGGTCCAACATTCCCAGGCGCCAATCACCCTCCCTGTATCAGACCTGGGCTCAAGCCACGACGATGACTCCAGAATTGCCAAGGGGCTCGTACTTTACTGTAGCCCCCTCCTGGGCCCCGAGTCAACAGTGGCTCCTGGTCTACAATGGGATCCATCACCGAGCCAGCAGCTCAGAATCCTGGTGGGTGGACTCACTCCCACCCATCCCCGGGTCTCTGGCAAACCCAGCTTTACCTCCCAGCATTCTCTTGGGTGGAAGGGCTGGCACCATGCGATACGGGAACTTGTGCAGGAGCGCTTCGTGGAAGACCACAAAGTCATTGTACCGTCTATACACAGAGGACTTGAAGCGCTACAAGAAAAAGGGTTCAGTCCTCAGATCAGACATCAGAAACCATGACATTTCATCATTCCCCTTATGTCTCCTTCAGCCACTCAACAGGACCCAGAGAAATAATACAGACTGAATAGCCTTACCCAAAATGCTTGCAACCACAATTGTTCCAGATTTCAGATTTTTTTTTTTATTTTAGAATATCTGCAGAGACTTAACTGATTGAGCATCCCTAACCAGAAAATCCAAAATCTGAAATGCTCCTTTGAGTGTCATGTCATGGTGCTCAAAAAGTTTTAAATTTTGGAGCATTTCAGATTTCAAATTTTCGGATTAGGAATGTTCAACCTATGCTACTGAACTCCTCATCTTCTGTCACCAGGCCTTTGCTAAAAGGAGAAATCCTATAATTCCCTAATGTATGATAATACGACCTTTAAACTTTGCATAGCTTTTTTTTTTTTTTTGTCTTTTGTCTTTTTCCATGTCCGGCAACGGATCTCAACCCTCAGTGTTGCCCCCGTACCGGACCGGGGACCGGCAACGGGATTGCAACCCTCGGTGCTGCTCCCGCGCCTCGCTCAGCCAGTGAGTGGGAACCGGTCTGTATGTGGGATCCGAACCCTCGGGCGGGAGCGCCTCCGCGCTTCCCAAGCGGCGCACTTATCCAGTGCGCCACCGGGCCAGCCCTAACTTCACTTTTAACTATCCTTTATCATGGATCATCCGAAAGAGACAAGACTATTTATAGAAGTTTTTTAACTGCTAAGGTGGGCACCCATCCTTCCCTTAAAAGGTAGCACATAAGGATAATGCATTCCTTACTTCATGAATGCTAACACACAGCTCAGAACTGCCTCCTGAAATAGATCCAACTGTCTAAGGACAGATCAAGCACTGAATATGAACTGAAACAGAGCAGACACCTGACGCAAACATACATGCCTACAAACTCCATTGTGAACACCATCACTGATAAATTTGCAGGCTCCACAAGACCAGCGTCCTACACACCTGTGGCAACCTAATCTGTTCCTAATGTAAGAGCTTACATAATAAACGTGCATGTGCAGATGTCTTCAAAATTAAATATGTGATATGAAGAAAAAATATAAACTCAAGTGTCCCCATCTCTACCCAGGACACACATGCATCATGCACATCTCTACTAACCCGACTCCAGCATGGACGCTGAGCAGGGCCATGTACCTGGAGGAAATACGCGGCCCAGAAGATTCTCCGCGACTTGCCCAGTGAGTGGGCTGACCCATCCTCACTCACTTCAGGAGGTGGCCTGGGCAAAATTACCTACTTCTACAAATGTTTGCAGTGAGGCAACCCATTTACTTAAAGAACAGGCAGTTTACTGATACTGGAAAAAAGGCCAGCAGCTGGCTCACCGGAAGCGAACAGCAGCTTCCCACACACACAGAGCTGCCTCACCTTGCAGGCTGTCGGGCCCTGGAAGCAGGGCTGCTTTGTCCTACCACATGGCATCATGCCAGCTGGTTCTCACATTCCCAACCATGGTTGAGAAGCCCGAGAACCAAAGTTCTACCAGACAGCAATGCTGGCCTTGAAATAGTCCTGGGAGGGAACCCTTCCCTCTCTGCCTGCTGCCTTCATCCCTGGGTAGCAGCAGCAACAAGTGTTAGAACAGAGTGTAGTCACAGGCTCTAAATCTAAAACACAGTGAAACACAAGTATTGTGATTCCTCACTCGGACAGAACATTGCAGTCAGAAGTGACAAGAGACCTGCTCACTCGGTCCTTAAGACACACCTTTTTATCTGGGACCATCTGTTCCTGAGACTTTTCAAGCACACCCTGGCAGAGCTGCCCGGACCAGTGCTGTTGTTGCCAGGGCTGCCCTCTCCCACATGGGTGCAGACCGTGCTCTGTCTCTGCAAATCCCCCTGAATGTCACAGACTCCACAGCTCACAAGGATAATATTAGTTCAGTTATTTAATCCCCAGGATAAGGGATAAAAACCCCCATCGAAATCTACCCTAACTGAACCAAGACACTGAAAGATAATGGATGAAGGGACAGAAAGACCAACACTGTTAATACCACATGGGCTCTACCTGCTCAAGGGCCAAACCTGCTGCCATGTTCTGAATCTGGTTAACTCAGATATTGGAATGCCCTGAAAACAGGAAGGCAGTGTTATTAAAGGGGATTAGATTGGCACATAACAATCTGGCCCTGCAAATTTGATTTGCTATTTAGAGTCCATATTCTAGGGGGTCAACATTCTAATACTCAGAGGCTTCCCAATATTGCAAAACTACCACCAGGCTAGCTTGTGTTCAGGGTTTGAGCTCTGCAGACCATCCGTATGAGATTCTTAAGAAACAGGATTCCAGAGTGCAGTGATGCGGAGGATGGACAGGACAGGGAGGTGACAGGACCAGGTGGGGACATGGCTGAGCCAGAACGAGATGTAGGGAACAACATATATGGAAAAGTCTGCTCTGCAGCTTGATTGTGCTATCAAGTTTTGGACCTTACATTTAAGCCAGGCATACAGACTCTCTTCAGCCCTTCTCCCATCATACCGCTCCTGCCCTAAGACTTGTCCCTTTCTCCCCTTTAAAAGCCCCACAACCCACACCCAAAATCTGCCAGCTACCTGGCTGGAAACCTCATATTCCACATGCTTCAGGAAGAGGCCCTTCTTCTCCGGGATGAGCTCCACCTGCACAGTGTCCCTGGCCAGCAGCTCCTGCAGGGTGAGGGACAGCAGCAGTGGGTTCCCCTGCGGCATCTGCATCCGATTGGGGTCTGGGTCCCTATGTTCGATGACCTGGGGTGTTGGCAAGTCTGTAGGAGAGAAGGTGAAGGCTCAATAAAAACAATTGCTGAAAAAATGGAGCCTCCCTCCACTGTGTGCAAGCGTGGCATGTGGACTCTGGCCACATCATGCAGCCAAACCCCATCCCGAGCCAGGCCACACGTATTCATTCACACTAGGTAGTCGATACTGAGGGGCACATCCTTCTGCTCCACTACTCCAGGAGACTTGCACCTGCTTGTGAATCAGCAAATACGCCCACATTTCTGTGACAAGCCAAACCTAGTGTTCAACTTAGGGAAAGAAAACAAAGTGAAATATTTACAAATTATGTGCAAAAAAAAGAGTCCTCTTTTTCTCTAGAGCCAAGAGAAGGCGTTCAAACAAAAGAAACTGGCCATGTAATTTTCTATATGTCCCAATGTTTCTACGATTAACATATATTACTTTCATCTGCCAAACAATCATTCTAACTTGTTAAAAAAACAAACAAACAAACAAACAAAAACAAATTCTACATGCCTGCTTATAGGTAGGATTCTTGATCATACAAACCAAAGAATTAAGCCCTAAAACCTCAGCTTCCTTATGGACAAGAAGTCACTCACATATCATTCCCAAAACAGAAAGAAGACACAATATTCAGAGACTTTATGCCTAACAACTTGCAAAAAAAAAAAAAAAAAAAGGAAATTATGTTAAAAAGCCAGTTTGGTTTTTGATACAGGGAGAGTTCTAAATAGAAAAAAAGACATTCTTTACATTTAAAGAAAATGATATGGTGAAGGTATTCCATGGGGTGGGGAGAAAGGCCTTATTACAATTAACATTGCTATAAATAAGTACAGCAAAGTGTAGGCTTCTTTCCTCTATTTTCCAAATTTTCCTCACTATTGTATCACACGATGATTTACTTCTTAAAGTCACTCCAGTGCAAGATGCTGTTAACATTCCAAAACAAAATTAATGACTAGATTATTTTCATCTGTGAAATTACTCTGCATTTTAGGATTTAAAATGTAGCTGCCTTTAATTGCCCTTAAGGCTTAAGAAAGAAAACTAACGCCTTACTGCTATTTAGGAATCCCCAAAGATCTCATAAAAACTCCTCACAAAAATTCAATATTACATGCTCTGAAGCAGGGATCTCTCAAGTGAGGGTATCCATCCTGGGGTCAAAACAATCCTCAGGGATTCAGGAAAAAAATATTAGCAATTTTTTTCATATTTTTTATCTCTTCCTTTTTAAGTTATGTTCTCATGGTAATATTATAATACACATAATACCGTAGTAAAGTAGCACATGCACACAACTTATTCAAATATGTATATGCATAGATGCGTGCAAGTATGCATGTGTACATGTATGTGCATATGAGTGCGCATATGTGCATGCATGCGTGTGTGTATATTTGAGGGTGCACATGTGTGTATGTTAGGAGTCCCCAACATTTTAACAACCACCCTATGGAGATCACAGCTCTCTAGGGCACCTTTCTCCCAGGTCATCTCAGGAACCCAGCTCCTTTCCATGTAAAATGTTTTGACGACCTTAAAACTTTTGTTTACACAGACTCCTTAGGGACTACAAGTATCCTCAGTCAATAAACCACCAAGCACTTAAGTACCTACTCCAGGGAATATAGTGATGAATAAGACAGGATCACTGAGCTCATTAATATATCTATTCATCCAGCAAACAGCTGTAAGTGTCCACCATTGCCAGGCAAAGTCTATAAATATCTGCACTCAAGGAAGACCATGAATCATGCCATAACAACATTAACAGCACCCTGAAAATTACAGAAAGGAAGCCAAGACACAGCACTAGAATGCAAACTCCAGTAGGGCATGGGCTTAGTCTGCTTAATTCTCCGATGTAGCCCAACTGCTAGTGCCTGGCACACAGTAAGGACTTAAGGGACATTTGCTAAATGACTACCTGTTGATATTCTACTTACAGGAATGAAAATTTTGCTTTTTTCTGGTGGAAGGTAAAGACCTGTTTATCTAGAGCATAGAATATGTAGAAAAACAGGAAATAAAAAAGCTGAAAAGGTAATATGGAAAGAATAGTTTTATCTGAGAAAATATTTGCAAGTCATACGTCTAATAAGGGACTTGTATCTGGAATATAAAGAACTCTTCTTACAAGTCAGTAAAAAAAAGAGTCAACCCAATTTTTTTTTTTCCTTTTTGTCTTTTTTCGTGACCGGCAACGGCTACGGGATCGCAACCCTCGGTGTTGCTCCCGCACCTCGCTCAGCCAGTGAGCGGCCGGTCTGTATGTGGGATCCGAACCCTTGGCGGGAGCGCCGCCGCACTTCCTAAGCGGTGCACTGTAGCAGTGCGCCACCGGGCCGGCCCCAACCCAATTTTTAAACAGGCAAAAGATTTACATAGACATTTCTCCAAAGATATACAAGTGGCCAATAAACAAATGAAAAGATGCTCAACATAATTAGACATCAGGGAAATGCAAATCACAACCACAGTAAGCTACCACCCACTTTTGGTCTAACAATTTTTTTTTTTTTTTAGTTTTTAAAAGACAAGTGTCTTTTAACATCCTTAGAATGTTAGGTATTATTGCTACCATATGATCCAGCAATTCCAGTTCTAGTTACTACCCCAACTTATAATGATCTGACAATTTTTTTACTTACAATGGTGCAAAAGAGTATTCAATAGATTACATGAGGGCCGAGCCCGTGGCGCACTCGGGAGAGTGCGGCGCGCTGGAAGAGCAGCGACGCTCCCACCGCGGGTTCAGATCCTATATAGGAATGATCGGTGCGCTCAGTGGCTGAGCGCGGTGTGGGCGACACCACACCAAGGGTTGCGATCCCCTTACCGGTCAAGAAAAAGACAAAAAAAGGGCCGGCCCGTGGCTCACTCGGGAGAGTGCGGTGCTGATAACACCAAGGCCACGGGTTCGGATCCCACATAGGGATGGCCGGTTCGCTCACTGGCTGAGCGTGGTGCTGACAACACCAAGTCAAGGGTTAAGAACCCCTTACCGGTCATCTTTTTTAAAAAAAAAAAAAGATTACATGAGATATTCAGTACTTATAAAACAGGCTTTGTGTTAGATTATTTCGCCAACAGTAGGTTAATGTTAAGTGTTCTGACCACATTTAAGGTATGCTAGGCTAAGCTACTATGTTCAGTAGGTTAGGTGTATTAAATGCATTTTCTACTTAAGATATTTTATTTTCAACTTATGATGGGTTTATAAGGATGTAACCCCATAGTAAGTTGAGGAACATCTGTATACCTAGAAGAAATGAAAACGTATATCCACTCAAAAACGTGTACACAAATCTTCACAGGAGCATTATTCACAATAGCCAAGAAGTGGAAAACACAAATGTCCATCAACCAATGAAAGGATAAATAAAATGTGGTCTAGCCACACAATGGAATATTTTCAGCCCCAAAAAGGAATGAAGTACAAATTCATGCTACAACATGAATGAACCCTAAAAACAGACTTAGTGAAAAAAGCCAGACACAAAAGGCCATGAATCATATGATTTAATTTATATGAAATGTCAAGAATAGGTAAATCCATGGAGACAGAAAGTAGATTAGTGCATGCCTAGAGCTGGGAGGGAATGGGGTAATGGATAAACAGTAAAGCGTTGTTTGGGGGGATGACAAAATGCTCTAACATTAATTATGGTGATGGTTGCACAACTCTGAATATACTAAATATACTAAAAATAAACTGACTATACTAAATCCATTGTATTGGATACTTTAAATGGATGAATTGTATGATATGTAAATGATATCTCCATAAAGCTTTTAAAAATAAAAGGCAGGTCACATCAGTAAGAATGGCAGAGTAAGGACCTTCAAAAATCCTCTCCTCCACAAAAGCAATGAAAACAATAACAAAAATAGTCAGAATCAACTTTTTCAGAATTCTGGAAATTAACGAAAGGTTTGTAGCAACCCAGGGTACCCTTATTGATGTAATTAAGTTAAAATGAGGTCATATTGGAATAGGATGGACCTTCATCCTCTTATGACTCCAGTCACAAGAGGAGGACACCACATAAGGCACAGAGACACACAAATGTATTCACAAGAGAGAATACCATTTGACAACAAAGGCGGATATTCAACTCCTGTATCTACAAGCCAACGAAGACCAAAGACTGCCAGCCAACCCCAGAAGCTGGAAGCGGCAGGAATGATTCTCCTCCTACAGGTTTCAGAGGGAGTGTGGCCCTGCCAACACCTTGATTTCAGACTTCTAGCCTTCCCAACTGTAAGACAATAAATTTCTGTTGTTTTAAGCCACCCAGTTTGTGGTATTTGTTGTGGCAGCCCTACAAGACTAATATAAGAGACTTTACAAAATTAGTTTAGAAAAGTCATTAAACAAACAAATAGCAGCACTATGTTGCGGGGTAGGAGGGTGGGGAATCTTATTTCCAGTTTCATTTATTCAAAATGTCCAGTTTCACCAAAAATTTATAAGACATGCAAAGAAACAAAAAGTATGGCCAAACACAGAGGGAAGAAAGCAAACAATAGAAACTGTCCTAAAGGAACGCCCAGACATTGAACTTACCAAAGACTTTAAACCAGCTATTTTAAATATGTTCAAAGAATTAAAGGAAACCGTGTCTAAAGAAATAAGGGAAAGTGTAAGAACAATGTCTTATTAATAGAGAATATCGGGCCGGCCCGGTGGCGCACTGGAGAGTGCGCCGCTTGGGAGTGTGGCGGCGCTCCCGCCGAGGGTTCGGATCCCATGTGGAGACTGGTTCCCGTTCACTGGCTGAGCGCAGTGCGGACACAACACCGAGGGTTGCGATCCCGTTGCCAGTCCCCGGTACGGGTGTGACACCGAGGGTTGCGATCCCATTACCGGTCAGTAAAAAAGACAAAAAGGAAAAAAAAAATAGAGAATATCAATAAACAGATAGAAATTATAAAAAGGAATCATAAAAATTCTGGAGTTGACAAGTTCAATAACTGAGATGAAAAATTCACTAGCAAGGCTCAACAGCAG